ATTTATTTATTAAAATTTATTTATTAATATACTAAAATATTTTTATTTTATATTAGAGGTTTTTTAGAAGATAAAAGAACTTTTCATTCAAAAAAAAACACATGATATTTCAGAAGTTTCTTATTCTGGTCATGATCAAGGCATAGTAGCAAGAGCAAAACGTTCTATAAAAAAAAATAGTATGTAAAATATATATTAATTAATATATAATTAATTTAAATATTTAATTAACAATATAATTTATTTTAGCAAATAAGCGCAAAAAGAATTCTACTAAATTAGTTTCAGAAAAAAGACAACGAACAAAATCTAATATTGAAAATAAAAAAGTAGAACAAGCTAATACAGATTTAGATGAAGTAGAAAGAAAATTAGCAATTCGAGAAAAAGAAATTGCTCTAGAAGAACATGAAGCTGAATTAGAACTAAAAAAATTAAATATTGCAAAAATGAAAAAAAAACTTAATATGTAATATACAGTATATTTTATATATATTGTATTATTTAGCTTAATATAAAATTTATTCAATTGCTTTAAATAAAATTCGAATCAAATAAATAATTTGGGCTTTTAATTTATGATATTAAATAATTTAATATTATCGTTATATCTGTAAGTAGTTCAAATAAAAATTTTATTTAATAATTTTTTATTTAAACTTAACTTCCAAATTTAAGTCCTTTAAAAGCAACTATCAACATTTCATTTTCCCATTTGTATTTATATTCAAAACCTCCAAAGCTATAAGTATTCTTGGTACAATTAGTATTAGTTATGCCATATATTATGATAAAACAACAAATAATTTCAAAATAAATATGTAAAAACATTAAAAAAAAGAAAAGCCAAGTTTAAAAAAGCTGCTACTAAAATTCCTATTAAAAAAGCTTCTACTCTATTAATATTGCTATTAAGAAAAAATATTCTTTGAACAAAGTGTCCAATCTCTATAAAGTCAGTTTTATTATATGGGATGAAGTCAATAGAAATGGGACAAATTTATCTAATAAATTTGTCCCATTTCTATTGACTCCATCCCATATTCAAAGATATTAAAATGTTCGTCAAAAAATATTCGAATAATAAAGGTTAGTATAATTTTGCGTTTTAAAAAGCTTCAGGGATATTGTAGCCTAAATTTGCACATGTAGTTTTATGTTGACAGCTTCGTTACATTAAACGTGACTGCAAATAGTGTAACCACTAACGATTTTAATATCGATTAATATTAATGTATCGATATTAGATACTTTAAAGTATTATAAGATAACTATTGAATTACTGTGAAGTAACTGTTTGGTACTGTAAATTTTTATCCGTACTTTAAATATTAGG